CCGTTGCCACCGACCGTCTGCTCCGGGTTCCATGCCCCGTTCTCAGAGTCGAAGCCTGCAGTCGGTGACCCCTGTAAGGCGTGGGGGCTTCAGCCTTACTTAATTCAATACATACATTTTTAAACATTAGAAATAGTTCAAATCAGTAGCAGCACAGAAAAGATTAAATAGAGTATTCCCATGTGACAAAATCTTCGGTACATATTTAGAACAACAAACAAACTTGCTTTCATGGACTATTTCACAACAGGGGAAATTTATCATGATACCATATTAAATGAAAAAGCCAGATTCAAAACTATATATACAATATAGTTACCTGTAGCGCACATGTGCGTGCACGCACGCGCACACACACACTCACACATGCACACCCATGTACACATGCAAATATTCGGGTATGCTCAAGACCCTGGAAAGAATTAAAGCACAGTCTTACTGACCATCAAGGCTAAAATTTTCCAACATCGTTTGAATTTGATTGTGAGTGAATTATTTCTAAATTAAAAAATAAATAAATAAAGCATTAGCAGGAAAAAATCCCCACGGCAACTTGCAAAGCACAGCGTAGAGTCCTGGGATGCCTCGTGCGGGCTCTCAAGACACCCCGTGCATGAGCCCGTCAGCATCAGAAGAAAGAACCCTTTCTCTGTCTTACATATACGGCGTTCCGCTGCTGCCTCACAGAAGGGACCTTTGTCAGTGACGCGTTGGTTATACGTTCATACTTACATCTAACTGAACATAGTAGCTTCTATTTATAAAATCCCTCAAAAGTAATAGGAAAAGTGTTTATTGCAAAAGACAGTATTATTATTCCAGTTATTATCTCCCTGTGTATCTGGGAGTTGGCTCATTTCCTTCACAAGATGCTGCGAGTTATTAATATAAAGGTGACAGCTAGCAGCAGAAACGTGGAGGAAATGCTCGCAGTAAGATAATTTGATAATACGATCAACGTTACATATCTTAACGCCACCTTATCGACTTTAATGGAAGGTTTTAAAATACTGGCTGGGGGCTGCATTCTGCCTTACAGAAAAAAAAATGTTTTGAATTTCTCCTCTGAAAAAAAAATCGAAAAGTGATTTAATTACCTAGTGTTTTCAGAGCAGTCGAGCCCACGTTTTTAGCACTTTCCAATTCTTTTCCTGACACACCAAAAGAGTCAGCTGTCCTTGCACGTGGAAAGCATTAGCCATATGCAGTGGTTCGCCTTGCCAAGGGAGGCGGAAACGCTGCATTTTAGGCACTATTGCGGTGTTCCCCACCTCGGTAAATTCTAAATATGCAGCGGAAGGAAAACGCCTCATTTTTATTCTTTAGCGGAAACGTTTTTAGGCTTCCGTTAGTCAACGTCTTTATTCAAATTTATTGAAGAATAAAAGTACGATGTTGGGAGTATTAACACCTGCTCATCATGAAATCACAGCTTCAAAGCAGCTGTAAAAGGCCACCCAGTACAGCCCCAAAGGCCAGGCAGAGACGATACCTAAAGGACTAGGGTCTACAGCTGTCTTTGCTTCAAAGTCTGGAACAGAAAACTTCTTTGACTTTATTCATGAATTCATTTGGGCATTTCACTACAAGTTCTTTCTGAGATCAGGGCTGAGACCTCTCAGTTGCAACTTGCTTCTGGCCAACTGTGAAATATGGAGTAAAGCGACTTTCTTTTCCTCTGTTCATTCGAATAGTGTAGGAATTATTCAAATGAGATTAAGGAAAAAGTAAGACTAGAAATTCTACTCTCAACCGTCTACGCTGCAGGTTAAATGGTCTCAAATTCTTCGACTTTATCCTCGCCTCCCAAGCTGTAATTCAAACCCCGTCGTCTCCCCCTTTGTTCTAACAGACTACGTCCACATTTCCTTTCTTTTATTGTATTCGCTGAGAAATAGCCAGGTCCCAAACTAGCTCGGTGCTTTCATTTTGGGGGTATGAATGAAACATGTGATGCGCCAGTATGAACACGGACGTGAGGAAGAGTCAGAGTGTATAGAAAACACACTTTTAAAATAGAACATCACGGGCCATATACTCCAAAAATAAACAGTGTTCGTAAATTACGGCATTCCAAACATTAGCATCACGTTTTAATTTATTTTAGAAATTACTGATAGCGATACACGTGTTTATATTTTAATATCAACCTAAGCCGGCACTATTTTTGGATAAGTCATCTCGTTTATATCCTAGGATCCTCTGCGACTACTGACTAAGCTAAGGATTTGTCATTGTTAAAGTCTCATCACATTCAAAATACCGAGATGGAGCATCCAAGTACAACGGACACCATGGAGGTCGGGGAGATCACGGAGGAGGGCTCAGACCGCTGGGGAATGAGGTGTTGAGAGTGTTCTCAGATCCTTACCTGACGTCCATACATGTTATGCAGGTGATATCACGACTATTTGTTGTGATCAGGTTCAAAGCCACCGATGTTTCCTCATCAGAGGTCGGGTGTGCTCCACATTTAAAGAAGAATTCCTGCAAGAAAGAGGAACAGTATCAAGGCCATGAATGCGGCTGGCCATTTCCCCGCCTCCAAACCTTTCCACGGGAAACCATCTCTTCGGGTGAGAGAAGCGATCTAGCTTAGGTATGAGCTGGAAATAAATCGGCATCGAATCTTTCGGGGACACTAATGTCCTTGTGCCGAGCGAGCCAACAACCCCATTTAGGAGGACCCAGCATCTTCGCCTTCCCTTTTACTCTCTTTCGGCCACGGAGCTGGGGAAATGCTCTGTGCCCCCGGCCATGCTCCTCGGTGACGAGTGAGTCGAGTAGAACTCGGTGTGGATGCAGGGGAAGCCTGGAACAATATCTGGCAAGTGAGGGGAGGGAGCCCCTGAGCCAGGAAGTGCTTTGCCCCAAGCCAATCACAGGGGAAGCCAGGCAGTAACCCAGGCTTCCTAGAGGGAAACCCGGCGCTTGTTGTTAGGGCGTCTCTACGTCGTTGGTCAGTTAGCACAAAGGCACAGGGCAGAGCAGGGAGTGTAAGGACCCCGGCCATCAGCAAGCGTGCGAGTTCGTACAGACTTACGGAGGAGCAGACGGAGCCTCCCGCAGCCCGATCCAGAGCCCCGCCCGCTTCTCTGCCTTTTTTTCAGCATCCCAGAATCCCCTGGGAGACGGGGCCTCCACCCCGCTGCCTGGCAGCTGGGGATGTTTAGGACTCAGATCGGTACCTCTCCCCTCGTTAACTCGTTTCCCTAGCCTTGTCCCGTACACACGCCTTTATTTCAGGTTATCAGGTGAGTCACATTCTTTTGATTAATAATATTCTCCCTTCTCAACCAAAATTTTCTTTTTACACTTCTTCCTTGTTCTATATTTGTTCACACGCCTCTTCTTCCCTTCATTCAACGAGATGTGTGGCCAGGAGTCGCTCTGCTTCCTGCCAGTCTCTACTACGCCTTCCATGATAATAGCATCCACAAGCTAAGTTTTCTGCAGCTGCAAAATTTCTATACAAATAGGTCACAGGATGACAGAACCCTTGCAGCCCACGCGTACCCCTCAGCTCCACGGGTGTGTCACTACGTGGAATATGGAAGGTGGTTTTTTCCCTTTAAACACTTGACCTGGTGTCAACAAACTTTTATTAAAGCTCCAGATATGAAATGTTTTTGGCTTTGTGGGCCATTTAGTCTCTGTCGTACTTCTCAACTCTGCATTGTAGCCTAGAAAAGCAGCCATGGGCAATATACGAATGAGCGGATGCGCCATGCCCTAATAAAATTTTATTAAAAACATGTGGCAAATTCGATTTTGCCTGCAGGCCATAGAATGTCGATCCCTACGCTAGATCCTGAGATATTTGCGGAATGTCTTATTCAAAGTTGTACCCTAAAGTGTCTGGCACAGGTTAGGCATCCCATTATTTCTAAAATGAGAACTCAGTAGACTTATTTAGTAAGTGCTACCGGTGTCCCTTCATTTGACAAGTGCCGCCTTCATTCTTTCTTACCCTGCTCGTAACCAAACTAACTTCATTCTCCCCTCACCTGAGATACAGCAAGCGGCTCCCGGCAGGGCTCAAACTACAGGGAACCTCAGCATCACCTGGGGGGGCGCTTGTTAGGCCAGGCAGTGCTGGGCCCTACCCCTGATTTTCTAAGGTAGTAGGTTCCGCCCTGGCGCCAGGATCTGAATTTCTAACGAGCCAAGCCGACAGGTGACCCCGTTCCTGCTGCTCTGGGGACCACAGCTGGGAGAGCCGCTGGGTCCCACCACCACCGCTGGGTAAAGGGGTGAACTCTGCTTACTCTCAGGGGACAGCAGCTGTGGCGCACCTCACTCACCACAGCTGACAACGAGGCCATGCCTCAGGCAAAGTATGTCACTCTCCCAAAACCTGGAGTGTGCCATTTTACAGAGAAGCGTCCCAAGGACAGGTGTTTGGAACTTGGGCTGCTGCTAACCACAAGGTTCTCATCAATCCCAGATGGTCGGATTGCTAGTCAGCCAGAAGCTGCCCCGCCTGGGGCTCAGGGCGTGGTGGCCGACCCACCAGCCTGCAGTCCTCCGCCCCCCAGACCCGGGAGCCCATAGTCTCGCAGAAACAGGCGGTTTGTGCTGCATCCGATGGGAGGCCGTTCAGGGTCGTCTGTGGGGCCCCGCCCACGAGCCCAGGCTCCCTCCCAGAGCCGCATGCAAATCATACTGACTGGGTTTTTTTATTCTTTTTTTTTTTTTTTAACATGGAATACCACACTTTTTACTCAATCTTTTGAAATGCTACAGATCCTTCAAGGCCAGTTCAAGGGTAGTGAGAAAGAGAGTTAAAGCAATTCCTGATGACCAAAAGGGAAAGTTTGGAGGACATGACCCGCTCTGATGAAATACACCGAGCTAGCTGTGACTGCTTTTTGCAGACATGAAAAAAAATCCTCACTCACAACACAAAGTAATTCCTCCAAAATAGCTGAGTTGGCTGGACTATTGAGAAGGTATTTCATATACAGATAAATAGATAGATAGCATTTATATTTTTTTCTTAGCTTGCAGAAAGCTACTAGATGTTCAGCTAACAAATCACAAAGTGCTCTAACACCAGATAAAATTCAGGCAGATAAGAGCCAAAATCCTTCTTTTGAGGTGGGGTTTGTGTTTACAGATAATGGTATAAGAAGATATAGATATTTGGAAAATTCCACTAATTCACATGATGTGATAAAGCTAAAACAGAAATTACTAACTCTATATATCAAATATGCATGTCTCATCAGTGAATTTCCACACGGTCTCCAATTTTTATGAAAAGAGATTCTTCTATAGTACTAGAGCAACATGCAGAAACTGAGGCGGGTCTGAGATTTCGCCCAGCTTGCGAGAGGACAGGTTGGTCTGCGTGGTCTCGTGGGTGCCAGAAGACACGAGACTACTGGCTCCGAGACACCGGACTGCACGCCTCAGAGCCCGGGCAGAAAGCAGTGCGGACGTCACGATTAGGTCATCGTGATTACGCTGGAAGCACTTCCAGAACGAACGAGGAGCCAGAGCTTCCCTCACGAGATGTGCAGAAACGTGAGAGACTCCTGGGAACCTGTCTCCCGGGACAACTAATGCCGTCCCTTACAGACTGACCAGCACAGCGCTGTGGTCCTTTCCTGTCCCACGTGATTGGTGGACTGGGGTTTTCAAAGCCTTTCTGATATTTCCGGTCTGCATTCAAAACACACAAACTATAAAACAAAACTAAACAGAAACAAGAACCTTTGTAGAGAAATTCTGCCTTGGGCATCTCAGCTTCCTTATCTAGAGTTATTATGCCACAAGCAGCAGTTATTATGCCACTGCTTGATTCTTTTGGAGTAATCGTCTGCGGATTCTGCCTACCTGTGTTTTGTCTCTGTTGATGGTTCAGATTTGAAAATCGAGGAAGCCGCAGACAGAAAACCTTCCGCGGGAGTCCGCGCAGAACATGGCATCAGCGTGAGACCCAGTCGTTAGGGGCATGCCACCGTCTGATCCCCACAGGGGCCCAGGAAGCACCAAACGGGGGGCCAGTGACAGCGGTTATGCCCCAGGGCCAGACCGCTCAAGGCGACATTACTCTCGTTCCCAGGGATGCGAGGGCTTGACCAGCAGAGTCACCTCGATGCCACTGGGGCAGCAGTCACCTGTGGGAGCAGCGGGAGGATGGCTGTCGATCCTGGTGGAGGCAACACAGGGTCCTTCACTGCGGGGACACAAGGGCCCACCTCGCCCTCTAAAAATGCCCGCTCACAGATAACTCATCCACAAACAACACGACAACAAACTAAGTCCTATGAAGTCAAATGAATTCCCCTTCAGCCTGACCGGGCTGAAGGCCCCACTGGATCCACGCAGGCAGCTCATGGAAGCCATAATCAGCTACAGAGCTAAAATCCATGATACTAATTGGCCTGTTTTATTTTTTAATGCTTGTGTAAACTCCTTCCAAAAAAATGAAAAACATCCCAGAATAAGTCCTTAAAAATGCACTTGGCTTTATAATGTGACCCTGATAAATGCTACATAAGTGTTTTCCACCTTATTAGTACTAAAAAGAAAACCCTAAATCCAACAGAGCTGCATTCTTTGAGTCCATAGAAACGTACCCCCATTTTTGCCACTTCCGTGGACAAGGCTACAACCCTTTCGCTCCCTCTCACTGAGTTACTTGGGTTTTCTCAAAATTCAACTGTTCTGTCATCTCAGATTGTAGAGGCCTGATTCTCTAAGCGAATCAGACCCGTAAAAATCGAAAGGACAGCGAGGGGAAAGACCCGCGAACATGTCCATTCAACCGTTGGCGGCATCTGGGAGCCACCCCTTCCCGCTCACTCCTGCCCGCCACCCGACTCATGAGTCCTTGTCAGCGTCTCCCACAGGCAAAAGGGAAAAGACTAACAAGTATGGAAAGAAGCAAAATAAACCAGCAACATGTGAAAATTAGACAAATACCAAAACTCAACTGTATAAAAACTTCGAGGATCAAAAAGCCAATTAGTCAATGCCAAACACAAACGGATGTACTCCAGATTACGACAAAAATCGCTCAGAACTATCATCTCAGAAGCCCTGCTTGTCCCAAGTGCGATCTAGTTTCACAAACCTGAAAAATCAGCAGTGAGACCTGGCTTCTTTGCTCATGAGCCTTTTAACAGCTTTTATGGAACTGCGTAAAGTTAACAATTTTTATAGATATTGTTCACAATGTTGTTTTCCAAATAAGAAACTGTGTCTGTCTTTATGAAGAGTTAAATTCCTTGTTATTCTCCAAATCATTACATGTTAATGTTAACAACCCCAAAGGAAACACACCTTTCTCTTGACAAAATAAAAAGGACACGCAATTTTTACTGGAAGGTCGCAGGGGGTCTGTGGTTCGGGCTAAAGAAGTAATTAACCAGCCGTCCGCATGGTGAGTCAAGTTAAGAAAACGGGGCCCATGCCAGGTAGTTGGGGTGAGGCGCTTTGACACTGGGGTCCCCTTGCAATGACAGCGGAAGCTAAAC